AGCAAAATGGGAAAGAGAAGAAAAAAGGAAGGAGGATAGCTAAATAATTTAGGTTGCATATGATATTCTCTTGGCAAAAGCATTCGTGCTTGTGGATTCTTATTTCAAGGTGAAGGACTAGTGGCATTCTTGTTTAAGCCTGGTGATTAAGGGACAAGAATAATGGGTCAAAGGGGATGTGAGTTCCCACCCTGTGATATAAAATTAAGACATCTTTCAGATTTAAGAGCAGAGAAGGTAGAACAAGTCAGAAATTTTTGTTGCCTCTGATCTAAATTGACAGTGTATAGACGAGGACTGTCAGGAGGAAGATGAGCCATAGAAGGGCAACCATCAAAAGCATCCTCTGATCCCACTTTTCAATGCTCTTGGAAAGTGAGTTTTTAACATGAAGGGAAGGGGAGATATTAAAATATTGGGCAAAGTCTCATATACATCTCATTACTTTGAAAATTTTATTCTTTGAATTGGGCGTAAGGTAAGACCCAGGCTGTGCTCTTATGATGACCTGGACATGTGGGACACATGAGGTCATTAAAAATTCCTTGGCTTCTGTAGTTGAGACCAGATCTCCATGTTCTCTACTTATCCTTGAACTTGAAGGGCCTCAGAGTCACAAAGTCAAGGAGATCTTAGTACTGGTATTACTTACCATTAATCTTCAGATCTAGTTTTTAAAATAATTCTCATATAGCCAGGGATTAATATCAGCATTCATTGTTTCTAAGTTGAACTGGTAGGAGGTGGAGAGAGACCTTATAGGAATATTTAAAAATTATACTTCTTGTTAAATAATTATGAAACCTTTGTTTGGTACATGACCATGATGCAAATATTAAACTGTCTTTGTAACAGCCTTTTGGGTGACTTGTCATCTTAAACAGAAATCTGTTTTAAAATAAATACCTATTCAGAAGGTTGAAAGCAAAGAATTTTGGCGGGGGTGTGGGGAATCATATCAAATGTAAGGAGTAAAGGAGAACAAGTAGACAAATTAAAGGGAAAGTGTGGAATTTGGAGAATATATATAGGACTGGAAGAATGGGGAGCAGGAAAGGAAAGATTTCAAGCTAGCAGGAAAATCACATTTCCCAAAATGGTCAGGTGTTCCAATGAATAATACTCTGAAAGTGAAAATCATTACTATAACTGCATTAGGCTAATAACAAACCAACCTCCTGTTTTGGTAAAGTACTTAGATGTAGATAGTAAATTCTTAGATATAGGAAAACATTTTATTTAATTAGTGGAAATTTGATTATCTCTGGATGTGTTCCATTAGTGTGTCTAGGTTATCTGGGTGTATCCATTATCAGGAATTTGGCTTAACAAGTCCATTTAGTGAGCTCCATTAAGGTATTTTTTCTGCTTAACTCCTTGTAGCCAAGTGTCTGAAAGCTGTGCCTTAGGTGGTTTTCAGGTTTCTTTGCATATGCTTTAGTGGCTTGTCAGAGCAGTTCTAGTAGTGGAGAATTTCTCATACGGGGGTGCCTTAGCCCACATTTAGCAGGAGGTGGGAAATCAGGCAGAGATGCCTTCCAGAGCTGAGGGGGCCTCTTGGCATTTCCCTGGCAGCCTTATGCTTATCATCAGCCAGAACCCAGGCACTCATTAGGCTCTTGATGAAAAGCATCCCAAAGAAAATGCCAGCAAATTGTGCCACTGTGCTGGCAGGAAATGAAAACTGCTCAGAGCAAGTGGAGCCAAGAGAGCTGTTGAAATGAAAGGTAACATCAAGGGTGTGATCACTGACTCACACAGGCGTTCAGGATTCGGGATGCAGCTTTCTGCTTCACTGGGGAAAAAGCATGAGGCCCTCTTGTCTGTCAGCCGACGTCAACTCAACAGAGGGGCTGAGATAGACTGGAAGGTGGGCTCTGTTAAATAAGCTTTGTTGTGCTTGGGTAAATGCGAGGAATTTGGGTTGTTTTCTTTCCTCAAAGGAGTCTCTCCTACGAAAAACAGAAATTCCAAAATGTTTTTGTTTTTGATTTTTTCCTAGCCCCAAACACTTAAAACCACTTTAAGTAAAAAAAAAAAAAAAAAAAAAAAAATTCCAAAAGCACTACGAGTCTCCCTATTAAAGTGGGGTCAGACAGTGTGTGTGTGGGGGAGACAAAACCTGAGAAACTGTGAACCCAGCAAAAGACAAATTAAGGGGTATTTCAATTCCAAAATCATTTTTATCCTGAGGTTAAAATAGCGGCCAGAGGGAGAAGAGGAGATGAGCAACAGAAGGCAACTAACATGCAAGCAAGGCACACTGACAGCTTCATTCAGCTGGGTGCAGTAGGTAGAGTAATAATGCCCCCCAGAGATGTTCAGCTCCTATTCACAGGAACCTGTGAATATGCTGCTTTATAAGGCAAAGGAAAATTAAGGTTGCTAATTAGCTGATTTAAAGAAAGGAGATTATCCTGGATTATCCCGATGGGTCCATTGTAATGACAGAGGTCCTTAAATATGGAAAAGGGAGGCAGAAGTGGAGGTCCACATGATATGATATGAGGACTCAATCATTTCTAGCTTTGAAGCCATAGGAAAGCAGCTACAAGCCAAGGAATGTGGGTGGCCTCTAAAAGTTGCAAAAGACAAGGAAACTGCTTCTTCCCTAGAGCCTCTAGAAAGGAATGCATCCCAGTTTATTTTAGCCCAGAGAAAACCATGTTGGATTTTTGATTTCCCGAACAAGATACTAAATTCGGATTTTTTACATCATTATGTGTGTGGTATTAGTTATGAACAACAGCAGCAATAGAAAATGAATACATTGGTTTTTAGGAGATTTATCTGAAGTTCCAAAATGGCAGTTTCCAAGTTTATTTACAATTCTTGGGGCAGAAAAGTAAATGAGGAAAGCAGTGGGAAGATCTAAAAGGCACAGTTTTGTGTTAGCACTGTAAAACATATGTGTAGGACATTAGTCTTCTTTCCTTTCCCAAACATGTCATGTTCACACCTTTCTTGTGCCTTCTGCATAGTCTATTCCCTTTGCCTTTTAAACTCTTCCTTAGAAATTTGCCTATTGGCTAATATCATTACAGTCTATTGGGTTTTTCCTGATTACGATTTCACTAGCGTCCAAAGAAAGAGTGCCAATGGGACTGGCACCCCATTATTTCATCATAACTATGTCTATAATTTGAGAAAACCAGAGATCCACTAGTCGTGAATAGAAAGATATAGATGATAAGAAAATGGACACTAGTTAACTATGTAGATTTAAGTTTTGCTACCAGTTGTGATTGTAATCACAATGGTTTTTTGGTGTTTTTTTGTTTGTTTGTTTGTTTCATCTTGAAGGAGCTCACCTTTGTTACACTATTTGGAAAAGCTTTTAGTGCGAGTAAATGTCATGGTTTTTCTATCTCATGGTCTTGCTTGCACTATTCATTTAAGTTCTTTTTGGAAAGGCGGATTTAATAAGCAAAAACAACTCTCAGCGTGTATTCTGTATGTTAGCTGGTGTATGCTGAACCTGTGTTAACTATGGATCCTTTATGATGGAGAAGCACATATGCTATTTTAATGTCTAAATTTTGCCATTTTTTACAAAATAGTTCATTTGTATTATACAAGTCTCTTGGCAAAGTCTTTAAGGTTGACGTTTTCCTGTTTTATAAATTAGCTTCAGTAGATTATTTTCATAGTGAAAGAATTAAAATAGTGTCAAAGTTTAGTTCTATTGAAAATCATTGCTTTACCCAGAGGAACATTTAGCATTTTTTAACCTTCACAATAAGCCCCTACTGCAATTAATAAACCCCAGAATGTTAGCAGTGTTATATAATAGAAGAGCATTTCTTATGTATTAATAACAGTGCAGGGTGGGCATTTCTGATCAGTGATGGCTTTCACCCAACTCTTAGGGCCTCAGCACCTTCTGCATCTAGCCAGCAGATGGGGAGAGTGTAAAAGGATCACCTGTTTCTTAAAGCCCAAAACTGGAAGTGACATCACCGTTGCTCATATTCCCTTGGCTAGAATATGTCACAAGGATACAACTGGATGCAGGATGGATAGAGAAATATTGTTCCTGGGTGAGCAGCCATTCCCAGTGACAAAATCACCCTGTGAAAGAGAAGTACATATATTGGTGGGAAGCTAGATTTTTATTTATTTATTTATTTTTATTATTTTTTTTTTTTTGAGACAGAGTCTCACTCTGTTGCCAGGGCTAGAGTGCTGTGGCATCAGCCTATCTCACAGCAACCTCAAACTCCTGGGCTCAAGCGATCCTCCTACCTCAGCCTCCTGAGTAGCTGGAACTGCAGGCATGCACCACCATGCCCGGCTAATCTTTTCCATATATTTTTAGTTGTCTAGCTGATTTCCTCCTATTTTTAGTAGAGACGGGGTCTTGCTCTTGCTCATGCTGGTCTCAAACTCTGGAGCTCAAGCCATCCTCCCACCCTGGCCTCCCAGAATGCTAGGATTACAGGTGTGAGCCACCACGCCCAGCTGGAAGCCAGCTATTAATATTTCAAATACTGTGTAAATTATTTTAGTGCTGCATTATACTGAAAACCATTATACTGTAATGTGAGCATTACATTATAATGTAATGCTCAATCACAGCAAGTACCTCGCTCTTTCCTGGTACCATATGTGCTTTTCACCCTTTTGATTGTGCCCTTCTTATATACTACCATAACACTTAATATTTCCTCATTTAGAACTTATCATCATTCTTATAATCATTTGTTCTACTACATTGTAAGATCGTTAAGGGTAAGACCATATAGTCCCCTTGTCCATTGTATGCCCAGTACCCACCATAGTGCCTAACATAGTATGCCTCACATATAGTAGAGTCTTAATAACTTATTTTGAACCAATGAATGAATGAAAGTCCTAAATTCCTATTGCAATATGTTATGTCTTAAGATATGTCCTATGTTGTAAGCTACCACTGATGTTTTTTTGTTGTTGTTTTGAATGTAGGTTGAATAAATCAAACAAAAATTAAGATCCTTTGTTCTTTTTGTCTTTTCATAAAGGGCATGATGCCATTGTCACACTCCTGAAGCATTATAAGAGACCACAGGATGAACTACTCTGTAATGAATATTCTCAGCCTGGAGGAGGTACCCCTTTTCTTATTCAGTTTTCGTTTTTGTGCAATATTGTCCCTAAAGGTAAACCTGTGTTCTGGGGCTAGGAGAGAGGACATATCCTATGCCATATTAGCTTTATTTTAAGAAAACTTATGTCTGGGTAAGGCTGAACATAAAGAAGCTTCCATTTATGCTATTTTCTAACTCACCAATCTGCAGTTCCTCCAAGTTTAACATTCCCTGATCTGGACGTTTATGAGGCTTGTTCATGACTAGGAAGGCCTGGGTAAGCTGAGCACAGTCGTTTTCCACTTCAGTAATCTATTACTGAATACTCATACCCAGACACAAATTAAATCTGCTGAAGTCTGCTACAACTTGGATTTTGTGTTAAATCTTTTTATGTACTTTCTAAATAAATACTTGGAGTACAGCTTCAGTATCCAGAGAAAGATTTGGGCCTTAAGCTATGTCTTACTTGGTTTCATCACCTGATTCTTTTTATAATGTTGAACTTTTATGTAGAAAAAAAATGATTACTATTTTCATCTCTATTATATAATTTAATTTCTAGATGGCTCTTACGTGTCTGTTCCATCTCCTTTGGGAAAGATTAAAAGCATGACAAAAGGTACTTATTAATGTGAGATAATTGTTACATTTTATTATTTAGGTTAACTATTGCTTCAAATATGACAACTTTCTATTTTGTTTTACATATTACAAATGACTGTTTTAAGAGCATAAACAATATTGCCAACAGACCATTCTTTCCATAATTTAACCTTACCCTTTTTGCTTTCAGTACATAAAGATATAATAACAGTGAAACTTTCATGAGTATTAAAGATCAAACTCTCATAGTGCTGTTTAGATATTTTTATTTTTTAATTATAATGAATTACAAATATTAATATTTCCTTAAGAAGAATTGGGAATAGGTTTGCCTTAGAATAAATATTTGAAAAACAATTATTTTTTTCAAAATATCCTGAATAAGTTATACTTTGGAAACTTTTTAAATGTAGGCTGCACACAGAAATTAATATGATTGAACCAGGAAAGTAAAAACATATTCAATTGTAAATTTATATTTAACTGTTTGGAATTTGAAGTCCTTTAAGGTTACTTTTGAGGTTTAGATGTTTCCTCTGAATTATTCATATGCTTATTTCCTGACATTTAATTGACATCCCTTTGAGGTAAGCCTATTGGGACAGATTGAAGGGATTGACCAGAACCTTTATCATGACGTGATATGTCTGCATGCACTCCAGGGTTGCCACATCATGCAGGCAAGCTGGTGGGTGGCTAAACCCTTAGCCCTGACAACAAAGAGCAAGTAACTAAGACAGAGAACTAGCCTGCGTTTAATGCAGGGGGACATGGATCATTTGTGATAAGGTTTTAGTATCTTCAAGTCGTCCATTGTAGTTGGAAAATTTAGGAACTGATGTTTTTGGTTAAGGATATATGTGCATGTGTGTGTACACATCCACATATGTGCTTTTTATTTAAAATATAAAATAACAATTCCTGTTTGCAGAGAAGGCAGATGTTCTCCTCCTAAGGGCCGGATTGCCTTCACATTTCCATCTTCAGCTCTCAGAAATTGAGTTCCATGAGATTATTGGCTCAGGTAACCTAAGAAAATGCAGGTCTGCTTTTGTTTGAGGAGCCCAAGATAATAAGTGTTTAATTATTTCTCTTAAACAATTTCAGGTTCTTTTGGGAAAGTATATAAAGGACGATGCAGGAATAAAATAGTGGCTATAAAACGGTAAGCATGCAAATGAAAATATTTAGCATCCTGGCGGACTGGTGACCTCTGAGAAGCATATGCATGGCAAGCCCCCTGTCTGGATCCACCTGTTGACTGAGGATTTCCTGTTGCCGCCATTTCTAGTTATCGAGCCAACACCTACTGCTCCAAGTCAGATGTGGATATGTTTTGCCGAGAGGTGTCCATTCTCTGCCAGCTCAATCATCCCTGTGTAATTCAGTTTGTGGGGGCCTGCTTGAATGATCCCAGCCAGTTTGCCATTGTCACTCAGTACATATCAGGGGGTTCGCTCTTTTCCCTCCTTCATGAACAGAAAAGGTATGGGTCTCTTGTTCTGATTTATCCCTGGACACGTTGGTGGAATTACTCATGCAATACTTCAGAGGCTTTCTGATTGAATGAGTCTTTACCTTCTGAAATGTGTGCTAGCAAGTGTAGCATTTTAAATATGGCTAATAATTTATGCCTAATAATTGTGTTTCACTGAATAGAAGTACCCTGTGCTTTCTTAATAGGAATTCAGTTGAAGGTAACAAATTCAAGGAATTTAAATTGGCAACTGAAGCTTAAAATAATTAGGCTAAATTTGACACACCGATAAAGCAGATATACTTAAGCTCAGAATAAAATAATTCCCAGGGGTTACAGTATTTACAAAAGAAAGTTTTAATAAAGAATGATCTTGCCCAAGTCTAATTTGAATTCACTTCCTAGGTCTACGCATACAATAATTAGAATGTGGTCTCACTCACTGATTAAAAATAGAGTCCATTTTTATATTATTAAGAAGAAATTAAGTATAATATTATAAATAAATTATAAAATCAAGTGTATTTTAAACAAGAGGTGCTATATATTTGCGTAGATGTATAATTAAGCATTTTCTGATATATAAAAGGTATTTTTCCAGATTTGTTGAATTTTTAGCTTAACCTTCAAGAAAGGGAAAAAGGGCTGAAATTACACAGACTAACAAATCTCACATGCCATTTGATTTCTTTTAGAAAGATATGGTATTGCTTTGACCATTTCATCTTCATTAAATCTATTTTTAAATTCTAGGATTCTTGATTTGCAGTCTAAATTAATTATTGCAGTAGATGTTGCCAAAGGCATGGAGTACCTTCACAACCTGACACAGCCAATTATACACCGTGACTTGAACAGGTATTTTTATTCCATAAATAATGAACTTAGAATTGTATAACTGACTAGGAGTCTAAGAAAGATTTCTAAGATATATTTTAGATTCATTGCAGATCAGGGTACTCTGTGGGTGAGAGGAAAGGCTACCATAAGCCTACGTGATAGAGTTTTGCCATTCATTATCTTTTAAAAGAATAGAAAGCTGTAGAACTGCTTCTCAGTGAGCTTTGAAATCTATGAAGAATGTCCAGAAAGATAGTGATGTCTGTTAAGATGCACCAGCTAACTTGTTCCTAGGTCAGTAAGGTCAGATCATAAGCATTGAGCTCAATGACTATTAAAAAATGATAATCTCATACAAAGTTAGGTGTTGAAGGAGGACCTGACACAAAATTATCTGTAGCACTACTCTGTGCCACCATTTCGGCATTTTTGCATTGGCAAATTCAGCCAAGCCACAATAGCATGTTTACCTAGTTTTATGTGAAGAGGCTTTCTTGTGAAATAGAGACTTGAAACAAATAAAGAATCAGAGTGTTCCAGTGGTTGAACCTTTCTCTAAGTCTTACAGGAAAGGTCAATATACAAAATGGGGCAGTTTTGATTGAAGGCAGAGTGTGGAGTAGAAAACTCTGTTCATATCCCATTTCCCACTGCTAAGGGGAGAAACCCCTGGGCCACCTCTGTGGAATCCAAAAGATGCTGGAGAGATTAGCTGGACAACCACTGATCTAGTTTGTGAAGCAAGTCAGATTATTCCACATCAGTAGCTTTCATTTCATCAATAAAGTTGATACAGGTCCTGTATATAGTCCTTTATACAAACTCTACAGTTCTGAAGCTACAAAATATTAATTAATTACTCTATTCAGTCATTTGTCCAACAATTATTTGGACATCCACCATGTTTAAAGCCTTCATACTTGGCACAATAGAACTTACAAAGTGAAACTGCTAGAGACTCTACTTCAAAGGAAATTTCACATTCTAGTAAAGGAGAAACATACTTACCTAAATATATTTTAGGGTATAAAATAATAAGTTCTAGAAAGGAGACAGTGAAAAATGTCTATAAAATTTCAAAAAGAAGACTATTAATTATTTCTGAGGAATTTAGAGCAACTGAACATAAGAGGTGACATATAATATTGATCCTGAAGGATAGAGACAATTTGGAAGAGCATCCTAGGCTTAGGGAAGACATTAAAAAAATAGAAATGAGATTAGAAAATTAAAGGTATATATAGGAAGAATGAACAGTTTAATTTTAGTGTACTAAGTGTATAAATGTGTGTAGTGTGTGTAGTATAGGAAAAGGACAACAAACAAGGAACAAAATATAGAACAATGGAACAAAAGCACAAAGTTTAGTGAATGCTAAACTAAGGTAGTTCAGACTTTGTTTTGTAAGCAAGAAAGAGGCACTGAGAATGTTTGAGCTGGAAAGCACAAATTTGGAGCTGCTTTATAGAATGATTAATCTAGCATCTTTTAAAGATCATCTTGAGGGGAAGTCAAGAAAGTAGCAATTGTAGTAATCTAGACAAGAAGGAATGAAAAGCAGAATTCACTAGTGGCAGTGGAAATGAAAGGAAAAGACAGATATGAAAGGAGAGATAAAATCACCAAGACACGGGAGTGGAAGAATCTTAGATATTGAAAGTAAACATATATATATGACTCAATCTATTTATAATTATTTACTAGTTTTAAAATAAATAATTTCTTCCCCATTATTAATGGCTATTAGTTCTTTCCTTTATCTCTCTTTTTAAAAAATGTTAATAAACATTTTTTCTTTGAGCTTCAGAAACAGATTTAGATGATAAATTAGCATAATGCAAACATGATTTTGAGTTTTAGGAGTATTACTTTGCCATCTCAACCATCTTTGCAAGTTGTACTAAAGCAAATGAGTGGTCATTCAAGTTTTCTCTAGTTGTAATTCTTTATTTGTGGGCTATTAAATGTATATTCTGTTGCCTTATAAGTCAAAGCTGTTACCACTATTATACAGTAGGACCAAAAATATAAATGTTGATTAAAAGTGAAAACAGCATATTTACTATACAGCAGATATGTTTATATATATATACAGTTTTTGTTGCTTCTAATCTAAACTTAAATGCTTAAGTTGTACCAAAAAGTCTTCAAATTTTACAGTTTCGTAAGTGCCATCAATATGACAGAGTCTCAAACTATTGCACCTATTAATATTATTTGTGGACTACTTTCTACCAATCTTTAGTCTGGTAACAGCAATAAAACATTGTTTTCAGATTAATGCAGAAGTAGCACTGTACATAGCTGAAAAGAGCATTGGTTCTTCCCCTCAGAGGGCTCACTACAATATAGTTGGGTGTATGGGACATAAGTGCAACACTCTCGCTGGCAGGGTGGCTTCCTGCTGCGGTCGCCCGTGCGCCCCCCACACCTGGGCTGGGCCGCCGCCGCCACCTGGCGCCTGGGCTCCCCGCAGCCTCCCGGCCCCACCCGCCCGCGGTGTCCACAGCCTCCCGGTTGCTAAGGGAGGCGGGAAGGCGAGCGCCCAGGGTCTGCAGGGGCCGAGGCGCTGCTGGAACCCAGCCTGGGGAAGCTGGAGGTAAAGCCAGCTTCCACCCCTTCTTCTGGGCCCGATATGGGAGGAGACCCGGGCCTGCCCCTGCTCTGTTGCCCTGGGGTGCGGGTTCCCCAGGTACCAGTCATCTGAAAACACAAACGCGCGCGCGCACGCACACACACACACACACACACACACACACACTTTTCTTTAAAGAGTGAAATTAAAAGAGAAAGACTATCATCACTGTATTCAGAGAACCCTGTTGTACCACATCCAACAGAAAGAGCTCCTTAAACATTTAGTTCCACGAAGTACTGTAATCCTATTTATGAGCTTCACTTGGGTGTAGATGTTCAGTCCTAATTTCCATCTCTCTTTCTGACATGCTCGGTTTCCGTTGGAAGTCAATCTGTCTTCAGCTCCCTAAACCTCCAGAAGAAACAGCGAGTTCTCTCTGACTCTCAAGGTCCTACCCGTTACTTAAACGGAAATTCTCCATCCAGCTTGTTCTGGTTTTCTCTGAGGGTAGATTTGCCCCTGCCTCTTCACCTAATTCTCAGTTTCCAGAGGGCCAGCTACGTTCCAAACATTCTCATCACATTTCGTTTGGATTGAAGGCCCCCCTCCTACTCCAGCACTAGAGTATCCTTTACTCCTGGGTTGTCCTCTCTTTGTACTCCTACGGAAATAGCTGAAGTTTCCTCCCAGGGCCAGTTAATATGTTCTTCCTCTCTCAGCTGCCTTCATTAGAACGTCTCATTTAATTTTGGCTGCATTTACCAATTCTAAAAATAGTGCTCTTACTGAACACCCCATTAAGTAAGTTCCCTTAGACACATACTCTCTTCAAAACAGGTATATTTAACCCTTTGCACTTGGATGTTGAGTGTGACTCGACACAGAAAAAATTATAGAGGTTAAAATTACTCTTTGAATGTATCAATAATTTGAAATATAAAAAAATCCAAATAAATAAGTTTGTACGAAAAGAAACTCCAGTTTTTTATTCTACTGCCGCGTTTTGTAAAGTCTGGGGTATTTAAACAATTAAATCCCGAGTAGAATAAAAGAATTGGGAAAAAAGCAAGCGAGTGCAAAGGGTTAAGTCAGAGAAAAACTCATTCCTTTTGCCGACACTGTCATACTGCTTGCATGAACCTGGTCAAACCTTCTCTCACAGTAACTTCCATCAGAATCTTTGCTTCAGTTGTTCCAGTCAGACAAATCTCTCAACCACACATCTTAGAGATGGGTTGAAAGCAACAATATGCCACTCTAAATGCTACACAAGATTATGTGTGTGTGCAAATACATGTATTTGTGTGTGTAAGACAGCACAGGTACAATTTGGCCCAAACCAGAAATTGTATGATACCAAAATTTACTTTTTATTCAATATAAAAAATATTGCCACTGCATTCAGGATTTCCTATTCCAGTGCATTTTGTGGTGAAGTGGTTCACTCTGCTGCCTGTTTCCTGAACACAGCAGTCACACACTGAGAATCCCCAAAGCCAGGGTGGCAGGAGTGCCTTCCTGGTAACAATGTTACCTTCCTCACCCAGGGACTGAGCATGGAGGAGTACAAGTGACACACAGCCCCTGCCCGCTTGTTCCTCTAAAACCTTTCAAATGCTTTCCTGTGACTGGTGGTGAACTTCCTGGCCTGCAATTTTCAGGTGTTACCGGCTCCTTACATTGCCATTTCTTATTCTTTGGGGATATGGCCTGTATAAAGTAGGCTTTTGGAAATGTCAACAAAGGCTTTTCTCTGTTCAGCCTTGTTTCTTCTCTGCTCTCATTTCTTGGAAGGCACCATGAATGTCCTGTGGGCACCTTGTCGATTTCTTAAGCAGTTAACCTTTCAATAATGACATTAATTCTGCCGTGTGGCAATCGGTTCATTTCTCACTTCATCATTTTCAACCCTTGCTTGCTGAGAGTCGTTTGTGTTGTTGTATTCTTAAGATTCTGAGGTTCGATTGAGTGCAACCAGACTAGGGACCTAGGGCCAGAATTTCTAGCTATAAATGAGAAACAGTCTTAATAGGTGGATATTTCTTTCCAATTGATTGAATTTCCAATAGTTAAGTATACCTTGAATTTGGCCTAGAAAAAGAGATACAGATAATTATAAACTTTCTTGCCTTGTTCAATATTTTCTATTTTAATATTCTCCTATCAGCCTTGGAAGGAAGTGACTTTCCAAATGATGTTAGTCTTCTCTGGCTGGGATCACAGCATGGACATCTCCCGGGATCTGTGTTGGAATGGGCTACCACCCCATTGGAAGGCCACAGCCTCTGGAGCCAGATCATGCAAGCTCAAATCCCACTTGCCACATCTTATCTGTGTCCTTGGGCAATTTCTTTAACGTATCAGTTTCCTAAATTCTAAGATGGTAATAATTATACCTGCCTTATTGAATTTAAATGAGAAAATACATCAGCTATTATGA